TCAGATGTTGCAGTAATATTACCCTTTAAAGATGTTAAATGCTATTACATAGTTGGGTTGTGCCCTGATTGTGTTCAACCGCTACGTTTCAAAGCCTAAACTAAAAAGCAAATTTTCCTCCTCAGGCTGGAAGATTGCTGCTGCCACCAGAGGGACTCAGAAATACGACGGTAAGAGCCGAGCGTCCCCAAAATGGCCCAACTTCTCAGCAAAGACTTTCTGGGGCTGCCTTGAGGATTTCTCAGGTAATGGGTTATCTGCTCCCGCGGCGTGAGGGCTGCACTCGGGTGTGAGGTTTATGCACTTTTCTCCTCTCATCGTGCTGATGGGGGAACAGATTATAAATTTACTCATCTTGCCTGTTCTGGGGTAACACAACTGGGCAGCAAGATGCACGTTTTGTGCCGTGCTCATAAAATCACCTCTATTTCACTGGCCTCCCCGGGCATTCAATATCACACGCTAAGCACCTAAAACAACTGCTAAAACAGGAGTTAAAACATTAATGATTTGCCCGCACTCATGATTAAATTGTAATGTGGGTCTTTTGAGCGTTTATTGCAAATTCGGTTTTAAAAAGTGTGAAGAAAGATGATCAAAAATGTACAATCGAAGGTAAACTCTTCAAAAATTCAGGAAGGTTCAGATGGATTCTCCTGTGTCTGGGGAGAACAACGAATTCTCACTTGTCCCACAAAACCCAGTGTTTTCTCCTTTCAAGTGAAAGCAGAAAAATTGCCATTGCTGCAGTTGATACCACCTTAGATTAAAGGAAGGACAGAGCACTCAGGATGAAACTGCATTTCTTTCACAGTCTGGGTTGTTTGTGGTTTGGGGTTTTTTTTTTTTGGTCATGAAAACCTAAACCCTAAGGGGTGTTGGGAAAGATTTGTCTAGTGATTAAACCATTTTCTTTCCTGTAAAGCACGCACGGCGTTTTGCAGTGACAACTGCTGCCCCAACAACAAAACGCTGTTGCCTTCCCTAAAATTACCTTTCCCCATTTTGCTGCAGAAGTAGCTGTGGCACTAAAGGCAGCAAAATTTCATTTATAATAAAAAAAACCACAGGATTTTTACACATTTATAATGTGTAAATACAAACACATTTATAAAAAAAAACAGGATTACAATGATTTGGGTATGATAAATGGTCTCAGGGTATGCATTGCTTGCTTTCTTAGAATGCAGAATAGCAAAAGTAAAATTGTTTTCAAGGAAATCGCCACATTTTGCTCAGTTACAGCCTGAGTGACTTTCCTGTTACTTCAGCCCTGGCCGGAGATGCTTCAGATCTGCCCTAAGTGATAAGATATAAAGAGTTGGCCAAGTCCCATCACCTGGATTCTGGTTATGTGTCTATCTCAATTTTCAGATGCTTTTGCAGCCTCTGTGGTTGTGGAGAAAAAGGTCTGGTTTTAATCTCATGATTTTGGGAGTCCTGACTCATCCCTTTCAGCGTTGAGGACAGGTAATACCTCTCCCTCGTGTGGAAAATAGCTTGAGCTGCTCTACAGCAGTTTTGCGTGGCCTGTCCACAGGGAGATGTGGTTATGAATGCTGAGATCCTACCAAAGCCAACCCAACGCCCTCCCCAAAACACTCTGGGACAGCCACAGGTAAAGGTTATGGATAACTTAAAAGTTTGTCAACCCCGGATGGGACTTAATGCTATGGACAGGCAGCAGCAACCCCCTTCCAAAGCTAATTACTAGATTAATTTGGTTTTGTTGTTAAAGGAAGATCCATGAAGACTGTCTCCTCGTGTCCAAGACAGGAGCACACCCAAAAGAGACAAGGCTTGCCTGACTGCACACACAAGGAACTCAGTTAAAACATCTGCTCTTGTAAAGTGGGTCAAACCTGCTGACTTTTGGCAGTTTAACTGCTCTGATGGGACAGTAAGAGTGATGTTGTTTATGCAATTCATCTTTTAAATTGAGCTCTGGTCCCCAGGAGTATGAGTGGCTCCTGAGGAGTGGTGTTTGTGAAGGTCTGCGCTGTGTCATGCCTCCTGCGCAGCTGAAGAGCCGTCATTCATCACCCACAGCAGCATCTTCTGATTGCTGCCCAGTTCTGCGTGTTAAATGGGCTCTCCTCTGCCCCAGTGACGTGCTTTGTGGGTGTCATCAAATTTACCAGTTCCCTCGTTAAGAGTAACCTCCCGTGGACTTCTCAGAGCCTGATGGGCGAGAGGAGCAGTGCTGGGATGGGACCAGGCTGAAAAACCTGACGACCCAATATTTCTCCTTTCATCAGGATGCTCCTCAATCAACCCTTTGATGTGTAATGCCCTGACGATGAGGCACAGAAAACACATTCCCCACGCACCGTTGATGACTGAGCAGAGCATTAGAATCCCTTCTGGGGATGGATGGGACGTCCTGGGAAGCACACCCCAAATCAAACCCTTCTGTTTGCTTAACCCCACATTAGGTTACGGGTCTAGTTCTCATCTGCTCCATATTTGCACCTCTTCCTTTCAAGGCACAGCTCCTTGTCAGCATCCTTTTCTTGTTAATAACTATGTTTTTAAACTCTTTGGCTTTAGATGTTTTAATGTGTTGTTTTTTTTTTTTTAAGCAGAAAGTATCTTTCCTAATACTCCTTTTGATACCTCTAGAGCTCTCCCATCATCTGCTTCCCCTTGCATACCTGTCGATGGGTACACACTATGCCTTGCAACCATTTCATACATGGTAATCACCCATCCTACAGCAGCCTTGTAGAGCTGCGGGGGGTCAGTGGCTTTCCAAGGACCTTCTCCTCTGGCCAAGCAGTGGAAATCAAGACACATCAGTGCGGTGTCAGGTGAGGATCCAAATCAGGATGGGTTTTTCTTTTTATAGCCATAAAGAATTTTTATTTTGTTTTCTTAGAGGTGGGCAAACGGCATGTGCACGACCTGGAAGTGATGCACCATGCTGGGCTCTGCCAGGGTGTCTGTCTGCACTGTGATGGTCCCCAAAAGCAGGATGGCAGAGCACACCTCGCAGATGACACAGGTGCTCTTGCCTTCCCACACCACCTCTGGAGTTCAGTCTTATCTTTGTTATTCTTACAGGGGAGTGACTTCCAGGAAATGGGAAGCAAAGGAAAAGTAACAATGAGTTCAGAATGAATAATTAAAAAATGAATTAGTTCCTGAAAAGTTGTTCCTAAAAACCATCCAAGCCTGCTCTCCCTGCCAATCCCCGATGTGAACTGTGTGTCAGTCCCTCTGTTTCCTAAGGAAATGGGCACCATTAGGTCTATTTATACTATTTATAGGTCTATGAATACTTCCCACCTTGGTACTCTACACAATACTGGACATGACGAAGTGCTCGCTGGTGTTTCGCAGGCAGCCCCGTGGATAAGAGCAATACAAGCAATTCTAAGGTGAGTCACTTATTTTCCCTGCCCTGACCAGCACCCCAACAACTGCATCTCCACGAAGAACGCCTGACTCCCGGCACAGGAACGTGCTTCCCTGGTCTCCATCCAACATGTGCCCTGAAGGGTTTATTCTTCTCCTGTTATTTGAGAGCATAAACCCTGACGTGTTGCTGCGCTGCGTCCTCTGCTCCCAACCCTTGGCTGCAGTGTCGGCACTTCGTGTCTCTGCTTTAGCACAAATGTGCCCTAAAGTGTGGCGTGTGACACGAGAGGATCACCCGAGGACATGGGAACCCAGTACCACTGTGGGGCTGGAGCAGGACGCCTCTCAAGCTGATGGGGGTCAGGGTATGCCATAAGAAAGTGGGAATGACTCTTCCTTAATCAACTGCCTGCTGTTTCAGAGGTCCCTGGGCATCAATAGCTGCTGGAAATAGTTTATGCACCTTGTACCGTGCTTTACTTATCCCCAGATAAGTAAAGCTCTGTCCCAGAGCAGGAAAGAGGAATATTGAACCCAGCTTCACCCCCACATGCATGAGTTTTAGAGAACAGCTGGGTACAGCAGCCTCTCCCCGAGTAAATACACCCCCCCTGGGCTGGGTGGAGAGACCATGCGAGGGGAAACCTGATGACGGTCCACTTTTTAATCGGCGTTTATTTTATAAACTGAGGTTTTACAATTGTTTAGATGCTTACAGGCATCTCTGGTATCTGTGGTGAAGGTTTACTATGAGACACTAAGCGGGAGGAAAATGAGCAAATACATCAAGGCAAAATGCTTTTGATGAAATGTCATGAATAAATTTGTCCCTTTTATGATGAGTCTCATGATTCAGGATTCAGTCACTTTTCTTAGAGCCCCAGGTCTTTAAGTGATAGGATTACAAGACATTTTTCTTTCTTTCCCAGGTAAATTTTCAGTTTTTGAAGCCCTGTTGAGAAAGGGACCAACTTTAAAAAAAAAAAAAAAATCAGTATCAAATTAAAATGACCTCAGGTAGAAACCTTAAAAAATTACAAGGGTTGTTTTAGGTAATCCTGTGGTTTCTGACAGCTTACCTTGTGGTTTTTGAATGCTTGGAGTTCGAAGTGCTGCTGCAATGAATTTTAAAATAGAGACTTTAAGCTTGATGAAACTGTCGTGCACAGTAATGGAACAGGAAATAGGAAAAGGGGCTTAAAGATCTCTTTACACGCTCTAGAAACAGAAAACGGTAATATAAAGGGCAAACCTGAGGCTTGCAGCTAAATTAAGCAATACCAGGACAATTTCAGACTTCTGTGGCTCTGACCCAGCTGCAGCCCGAGGATGGGACTGAGAAACCACGGAGGAGAAACGCTGCAGAGCCAGAGCTGGGCAAAACTCAGCAAAGCGTGAAAAGAGTTTGCGGCGGAACTGAACTAGGTGTCCACCTCATCTTCCACCTCATCTTCTGCTCCCAGAACCCCAGAAGGATTTGTCCTGGCTGGCTCCTGGCAGGACCCCCCTGGCAGCCCTAAACCAGATGGAAATTCAAACCCATCTCACAGGGCTTCACACAACTTCTTGCCCCTAACCAGAGTGACCACCAGAAATGAGTTTTGAGGGCCCTGCAGGGCTAAAAGGTCCCAAAGCCCTACCTTGGCCAGACGCTCTGCTGGTCCTGGTGTCTCCGGAGCGCCTCCTCTCCCTCACTTGTCCTTCAGCGTGGCCATGCCCAGGGCCTCCGAGCTGTAGTCGTACTGGTTGCTGGAGGACATGGACCGTCCCCAGGAGCACTGCAGGTTGGAGCCCCTCTTGCGAAAGGAGGACGTGAACCTGTAGAAGTTGCGGTGCCTGTTGCGCAGGTATTCCCGGTAGTTTTTGGTGAGCAGGGTGTAGAGGAAAGGGTTGATGCAGCTGTTGCTGTAGGTCAGGCAGGTCACCAGGTAGTTAATGCACTTCTGGGTTTGGGTGGTGAGCTGCAGGGAGCTGCTGTAGAGTCGCACCAGCTGCCAGATCCAAAAGGGCAGGAAGCAGGCCCAGAAGACCAGCACGATGCTGAAAATCATGATGAGGACCTTCTGCCGAGGGGATCTCTTGCTCTTCTCCTTGTGGGGTGGGTTCCTCTGGGACTCCAGGTAGGTCCTGGCCAGGCGCGTGTAGAGGAAGCCAATGATGATTCCCGGGGCCATGATGCTGGTGCTGAAGAGCACCGTCAGGTAGGTCCGGTAGGCGTCCACGCTCCAGGTGGGCGCACACATCCTCTTCACCTTGCCTTCTGCCTTGCCCCCTTCGGTCAGGGTGACCATCAGCATCATGGGCAGAGTAAGGAGCAGCGAGACCGACCAGACGGCCCCCGCCGTGACCTTCCGGTAGCCACGAGACCTCTTCAAGGTGTCCAGGGGCCGGGTGACGGCCAGGTAACGCTCGGTGCACATGAGGGTGAGGGTGAAGATGCTGGCGTGCATGGTGAGAAGGTCCAGGCTGAGCAGGATGCGGCACCCCAGGTCCCCGAAGTACCAGTCCTGGGCCAGGTAGGTGCAGACGATGAAGGGGATGGTGGAGAGGTAGAGGAGGTCGGCCAGGGCCAGGCTGACGATGGAGCTGTACATGGGGGCGGCGCAGCGCGCCGAGTGGCACATCACCACCAGCGTGTAGACGTTGCCCGCCACCCCGGCCACGTACATCACCGACAGCACCGTCCCGAAGGCCGAGGGGATGAGCAGGGGGCCGCCCCCGGGGGGACCCCCGCCGCCGCCGCCGCTGCCTCCCCCCGCCGCCGCCGCTGCC